AACTGTGGGCAAGGATGCTCTTGGGAAGTCCCTGGTGGGTACGGCTTGCAGCCCAGAGTGTCTAGTGAGGTACAAGGTTCCTGGAGAAGATAGGATTTTGGGGACCGGCACCCCAGCAGATTACCATGTCCTTGGGAACAAGCAGAGTCAGGGGACAGAGAGACTCCCACAGACCCTCATGCCAAGTCCCTCTGCAAACCCAAACTCTGCGTCTGGTCTGTCAGGACAGCTCTGGGCAGTGCCAAGAGGCATCCTTGCCCAGCTACAACCTAAGCCGCCACCCACCAAATCCTCTGTGCTTTTCGTAAGACCCCCCAGTACCCAGCTGAGTGTCAGAAGAGAAAAGCCCAGAAGTAGCCCTGAATGTGGAGCAGGGACTCCCTGCTTTTATTACGCCTTCCCCACGGGTGGCAAGTTCTTCAGGGCAGGGAAGAGGTGAACTTCTCTCCTTCCTGGTTGGAGGGGGGCACTGGGCCCCAACCCCCATTCTCAGGCCTCACCCTGAGCCCTCCAGGCCCTGGCCCCACCCCCTGTTCTTGGCTGGAACACGGAGGAACGGTGGCAGGGTTCCAGCTGCACGTCCCAAGCTGGGCAGAGTGCCAGGGGGCTGGACCAGGGCTGGGCATGGGGCCAGCTGGGGCGATCTGGAGGCAGCAGGGGTGTGACGGGGGAAGGGACCGAGGCTGCTAGGCAAAAGAGGGGCAGGGCAGGGGCCCCTTGGGCGGTGGGCACACCTGCCAAGAGCACAGGCCCCAAAGTCAGGGTTCAAATCCCTTCTCACCCACTTCCTGGTGGTGTGGACTTGTGTCAGTGACTGCTGCTCTGAGCCTCAGTTTCAGGTCCTGGAAATACGGGGAGGCCGGGCACAGTGGCTCAGGCCTGTTATTCCAGCACTTTGGGAGGCTGAGGTGGGCAGATTGCTTGAGTTCGAGGCGGGCCTGGGCAATATGGCAAAATCTCATCTATACTAGAAATACGCAGATCAGCCAGGCATGGTGGTGAGTGTCTGTAGTCCCAGCTACTCAGGAGGCTGAGGTGGGAGAATGGCTTGAGCCTGAGAAGCAGAGGTTGTAGTGAGCCAAGATCAGGCCACTGCACTCCAGCCTGGACAATAGAGCGCGACCTTGTCTCAAAAAAAAAAAAAAAATCAAAGAAAACTGGGGATCACACTCCCTTTCCACCATCCCAGATCAAGATGAGGAGCCAGTAGTGAGGCAGCAGATGGTCGGGGGCAGAACACCCAATAGGTGTGCCACAAAGTGAGTTCAAGTCAGAGTAGACAGACCTGGTTTGAATCCTGGCTCTGCTACTAAAAGCCGTGTGGCTTCAGGCAAGTTTCATCACCTCTTTGGGCTTCCTTCCTCATCCGGAAAATGGGGAAAGTCATTGCAGGAACATGGTCAGATTCACTGAGAAGTGGTTGAACATAGTTCAGTGTCGATGGAGGGCGCTGGGTTACTTGGGCTGGGGATACCATTGCTCCGACTCTCGGTTTCTGCCTCTTTGAAGGAGAAATCACTTCTCCTGCTCAGTAGGGTTGTAGAAAGGACTTAATGGGGTCTCCAGCTCCGTGAGCGTTCAACACACCAATGCTATCATTATTACAGTATCACTGTTATTCAGTCCTCCTTTTAAGATGCTTGCGTAAAAACCATGTAGGTAATTGCATGCACATACCACACTATGGGGAGGGTAACCCACAGGTTACTCTAAAGCCCAAGAAGCTCCTAAGCCCATGCTTTCCACCTCTGACATGCACAGAGGGAGAATAATAAGTCTAACCTTGGCCGGGCGCGGTGGCTCACGCCTGTAATCCTAACATTTTGGGAGTCCTAGGCAGGCAGATCACCTGAGGTCAGGAGTTCAAAACCAGCCTGGCCAACATAGTGAAACCCTGTCTCTACTAAAAATACAAAAATTACCCAGGCGTGGTGGCAGGCGCCTGTAATCCCAGCTACTCAGGAAGCTGAGGCAGGAGAATCGCTTGAACTTGGGAGGCGGAGGTGACAGTGAGCCGAGATCAAGCCCCTGCACTCCAGCCTGGGCGACAGAGCACAATTACGTTCACACAGCTTATAAGTCGTCACACACCTTATAAATAGTGGAGCTTGTAAGTAGTGGAGTTTATAAGTAGTAGAGTCAGGATTGGAACCCTGAGCCAGAGGAACTAGCCTCCAGTCTGTGAAATGGGAAAGACCCACACTTCCCAGTAGAACATCCAGAGGGCAGGCTGGGAGTTGGAAGGAGGGTCCCTCCGCAGCCACCAGCTGGCTCCTTCTATGGAAGAAGCAGCCCAGCCACAGAGGATTACAGAGCCCAGCTGCCTAGGAGGTGGGGCGCTGGCCCCACCTCCCTGCCGGTTCCCACTCCCTGTTCCCTCTATCGGGCCCCCAGCACCGTGAGGCCCTCTCGCCCCCACCCTCTGGGCAGGAAGACAAACAGGGCTGGAACAGAACAGGACGGCATGTCCTCTCAGGCAGGCAGGACTGAGGCTCCTGCCCCCACCAGCCAGGAGGGAGGGGGCGGGGAGAGGGGCCGTATCTCCCCTGCTCCAACCCTCCATCCAGCCTGCCCTCTTGTGTGCCTCCCACCCTGCTGTACTGAGGATTTTATTTTCCTTCTGCCTCCAGACAGGAAAATATCCCCTCGCCCTGGGTGCTGGGGCTACAGGTCTCTTGCCCGAGGCTGGGGTTGATGCCACCCCAGAAGCCGCCTCTGCTCTTGAATTTAGGAAGGGACAGTGACCCCTCCTAGAGGTTCTGCTTCCCTCAGATGGGTCCCAAGGAGGGGATGAGAAAAAGCCTGAAACTCACTGCCCAGATTCAAATCCCAGCTCTGCCAGTTGTTGGCTTTGGGGCTTCTTGGGCAAGGACTTCACCTTTCAGTCTCAGTCTCCCCATTGTAAAGTGGAAGTTTAAAATGTCCCCCTCCGCTGGGCACGGTGGCTCACGCCTGTAATCCCAGCACTTTGGGAGGCTGAGGTGGGCAGATCACTTGAGGTCAGGAGTTCGAGACCAGCCTGGCCAACATGGTGAAACCCCGTCTCTACTAAAAATACAAAAATTAGCCGGGCGTGGTGGCAAAGGCCTGTAATCCCAGCTACTCGGGAGGCTGAGGGAGGATAATTGAACCCGGGAGGCAGAGGTTGCAGTGAGCCGAGATCGGGCCATTATACTCCAGCCTGGACGACAGAGGGAAGCTCCATCTCAAAAAAAAAAAATAAAATAAAATGCCTCCCTCCTAGGGGTCCCCTGAGGATTGGATGAATACATATAAAATACATAGTACAGTAGCAAGCACACAAATGCTTAGCAAATGACAGCTGCCTATTACTAATGGTAATATTTATCAATATTATAAATGTGGATGAGACTATATATATAATATACTACACTAGACTATATATACAATATACTAGATGTAATACATCATGTAATAATTTTTTATTTTTTCTATTTTTGCTAATTTGTTTTTTGTCTGTTTTGTTTTTTTCAGTTTCTGTTTTTGTTTGTGTTTTTGTTTTTTGTTTTTTGTTTTTGAGACGGAGTCTTGCTGTGTCATCCAGGCTGGAGTGCAGTGGCAAGATCTTGGCTCACTGCAACCTCCGCCTCCCAGGTTCAAGCGATTCTCCCGCCTCAGCCTTTCGAGTAGCTGGGACTACAAGGCACCCGCCACCATGCCCGGCTAATTTTTCGTATTTTTAGTAGAGACAGGGTTTCACTGGTTAGCCAGAATGGTCTCGATCTCCTGACCTCGTGATCCGCCGGCCTCGGCCTCCCAAAGTGCTGGGATTACAGGCGTGAGCCACCGCGCCCGGCCTGTTTTTTGTCTTTTTTTCAGAGACAGCTGTCGCCCAGGCTGGAGTGCAGGGGCACAAGCATAGCTCACTGTAACCTTGAACCTGGGTTCAAGTGATCCTCTGTCTCACCCTCCAAATTATAGCCGCTTCCGGCTGTAATTTTATATGAAAGTAAAGAAGCCGGGCATGGTGGCTCACACCTGTAATCCCAGAATTTGGGGAGGCCAAGGTGGGAGGATCACTTGAGTTCAGGAGTTCAAGACCAGCCTGGACAACAAAATGACACACTGTCACTACAAAAAATACAAAAATTAGCTGGGTGTGCTGGTGCACACCTGTGGTCCCAGCTACATAAGAGGCTGAGGCTGGAGGATGGCCTGAGCCTAAGATGTTGAGGCTGCAGTGAGCCATATTCATGCCATTGCACTCCAGCCTGGGCAACAGAGTGAGAGCCTGTCTCAAAAAAAAAGAAAGAGAAGAAAAGAAAAAAGAAAAGAAAGGAAAAGAAAAGAAAAAAAAAAAAAAACTTTAGGTTCAGACAGACCTGGAGTTTGATTTTGAAGACAGTGGCAGAAACAGGGAGAAGAGCTAAAATCCTGGACATAAACCCAGGCCCATAGAGAGAGAAAATTTGAGAGTTTAGGTAGACTATTGTTTAAAGGCAGGCTTCCCTATTTGTGGGCAGGCACTGCACCTGTCTGATCCTCCGTGTCCTCATCTGTTCAATGGGGCGTTATCAACTTCCTTCTGGGTTGACTGAGCATTAGACGGGTTAACCTAAGTTTCACGCTTGGCACCAGGAGTGACAAAATAGTAAAAGCTGGATAAGTGGCAGATATTTCTCATAAAACGACACTTATTCTTCCAACCCCACATGCAAAATGTAGGTATTTGAAGTGGATTACAGGGCAGGGTGAGTGGTAAACAGAACAGGTTGCTTTGCTGTGTCACCCTGGCGGGTCCCTGCCCCTCTTAGGGCCCCTGTTCGTGGTTCGTCGTTAGACTTTGAGATCTATGTTCCAAGATTCACAGGATGGCTCAGTTGAGGTGAAAGGGCAGAGGAGGAGATTCTGGGAAACTGTAGGGCAGGGGGCCTGGGAGGCTGTAGGCCTCTCCTTCGTGGGCCCTCCCTTCTCCCAGCCCCCTCCCAGCAGGGGCCCTCCCTGTCCCCTAGGCGTCCCTAGCCCGGGAAATAAACTGCAGATAAGTCAGGGAGGAGACAGAGCGGCTCTAGGCGCGCCACAGAGAGGAGCGAGGCGCAGGAGGCAGCATGGACTGGCAAGACCACAGGTAAATTCAGGGCCAGGAGGGCTCCACAGTGTAGCCGTCCCAGGCCCAGAAAGCGCCGCGAACTCGACAGGGCCACACATTGAGGCCTGCGCAGCTGCGGTCCAGCCCTCCACGAGCCCCGGCCCCAGGTGGCAGCTCCCCAGGTGCTCGTCCCGTCCTCCTCTTGTCTTTCCCGAGTCACCACCAGTGAACGCTGCCCATGCTCTCAGGTCGACCACCGAGCTGCGCAAGGAGAAGTCCCGGGATGCGGCTCGCAGCCGGCGCAGCCAGGAGACCGAGGTGCTGTACCAGCTGGCCCACACGCTGCCCTTCGCACGCGGCGTCAGCGCCCACCTGGACAAGGCTTCCATCATGCGCCTCACCATCAGCTACCTGCGCATGCACCGCCTCTGCGCCGCAGGTGAGCCCCGCCCGTGGGAATTCCCGTCTTGGCCAGGCCCCGCCCACATCCCATGGAGGCCCCTCCTCCGGGAAGCCGTATTCTGACAAAGCCCCGCCCCCTGGTGGACGTCTTCTTGGCGGAGCCCCACCCCCCTGGAATCCCACTTCCCAGGGGAGACCCCACCCCCTTTGAGTTACTGGCGTGCTGGGAGTCCCACCCCCTTAGAAGTCGATCACTTGTGAGGCCCCGCCCTCTGGAACGCGCCCTTTGGAAGCCCCGCCTCCTTAGGACTCGCGGAGAATCCCCTAACCCTTCAATCCTTAGGATTTCATCCTCTCGGGGACTCTCCCAGATGGATAGGCCCTGGTCTCATAATACATCCACTGGGAGGCCACGCCGCCCAACTTTTCATTGCTGAACCTGAGAGTCCCTTGTCCCTTCCCCACCCCTCTAGTTCTACATCACTTGTTCTTTTAGTAGGCATCTCCTTGAATTTCCACCCAGTTAGAATTGCACCGTGCAGTGAGCTTTGCCACGCACGCACACACACACATACACTCACACATAAACCCCATGGAATCCCAGGACCCTGAAAGCGGGGGAGGTAGTGTTATTCTCTGGGAGGCTCTGCCCATTTGACTTGCCCCATAGAATTTTACTTTTCTTGGAGGCTTTACCCCCTTAGAAGTCTGTCCTCTGGGAGCCCCTGCTTCTCTGGAGTTCTGTCCCTCTGGAACATCCTGCCCTCCATGAGTGTTGAACCCCTTCGAGGCTTCCCCATCAGCTCTGTATTACAATTCCCCCTAGGCCCTGGCCCCTTCATATTTTGACCCTGGGGAGTTCCATCCACTTAGAATTCTGTCCTCCTAGGAGGCCCACCCACATCCTTAGAATTCCGTTCCCTTGGGAGACTCCTACTTCCTTAGAATTCTGCCCCCCGGGAGGCCCTGCTTCTAATTCCAGCGCTTCTTAGTCCTGCTTTCTTCCTTGGGAATCCAGGTCACTAGGATGTACCCCCACTCCCTCGGGGGTGCATGTAAGTTTCTCTGAATGAGGCAAGGCAGAGGGAGGCTAGCCCAGGGTCAGTTCATAATTCAGTCCATAACTGACTAGAGATGCCCCCATCCCCCCTGCCCCGGGCACCAGGGGAGTGGAACCAGGTGGGAGCAGGGGGAGAACCACTGGATGCCTGCTACCTGAAGGCCCTGGAGGGCTTCGTCATGGTGCTCACCACCGAGGGAGACATGGCTTACCTGTCGGAGAATGTCAGCAAACACCTGGGCCTCAGTCAGGTGAGAGGAGCTCCTGGCTCTGTGCCTGGCCCTGTACTGGTGATGCTGGGGATACAGTGGTGACCAGGACAGCCATAGCCCTACCTTTATGGGACTCACAGTACAAAGGGGATATAGGTATGTCACTAGACAGGAAGACCCAGAATGGTCAGGTCTGGGATGGGACAGTCTAGGGGGCTGTGGGAGCACAGGGGTGGGGTGTACCTGACCCAGCCTGGGTGGGAATGGAGGGCTTCCTGGAGGAGAAGACGTCTGAGCTGAAATCTGAAGAACTTAGCTGGTCAAAGGGGTATGGAGAATGGATGGGATCAGTGAAGGTCAGGAATGTACATGGCAGAGGGAACAGAGGAGGCAAAGGCCAAGAGGTGAGAAAGAAACAGGATAATTTGGGGAAATAAAGAACTTGGCCATGTGCAGTGGCTCACACCTGTAATTCTAGCACTTTGAATGGCCAAGATGGGAGGATAGCTTAAGTTCAGGAGTTCAGTGTTTCACCTGGGCAACATGGCAAAACCCTGTCTCCACCAAAAATACAAAAATTTCGCCAGATGTGCTGGCACACGCCTGTGGTCCCAGCTACTTGGGAGGCTGGGGTGGGAGGATCATGTGAGCCTGGGAGGTGGAAGTTGCAGTAAGCCAAGATCGCACCAGTACACTACAGCCTGGGTGACAGAGCAAGATCCAGTCTCAAAAACAAACAAACAAACAAACAAACAAAAGTTTATCCTCCTAGGTGCAGAGTGCAATAGGAGAAGCTGAGAGACAAAAGGCTAGAGAGGTCATCAGGGTAGCCTGTGGCCAAATGTAAGGCCAACTTAGCTTTATCTCCAGGACCCTGGGGAGCTATAGAAGGAGTTTAAGCAGTGGAGAGGTTGTGCCAGAGAGGTAGAATCAGATTTACATTTTTGAAAGATCCTCTAGGTACAGCATGGAGGTAGATTTGGAGGGAGTGAGATCAGAGGTTGAGAGATCAGCAATGGGTAGATGCCAATCTCAGGTGGGAGAAGAGGAACAGTGGCAGGGGCCATGGGGATGGAAAGATAAAAACAAGAGACATTTAGAAAGTAAAATTTACTTTTTTAATTAACATGGAAGGCTTCATGCATTTGCGTATCATCCTTGCACAGAGGCCATGCTAATCTTCTCTGTGTTATTCCAATTTTTAGCATACGTGCTGCCTAAGCGAGCGTAGAAAGTAGAACTAACTTTAATTCATCCTTACAGCAAGGCCTACAAGACAGTTCCCATTCTTTTTTTTTTTAATCTCAAATAAATGGGCGCAATAGTTGGTGTCTGTTCCTTTTCTCTGCCTGGTTACCCCACTCCTGGTACCAATTTCTCTGTCAGTGTGAGTGAGCTTTTTGGACCCAGAAAGATGAATGTCCTGAGGTCCCAAAGCTAGGAAGTGGCACAGCCAGGATTCGACTCCAGCTACAAGCGATGTTGTCAGAGGAGCGAGATCTCCCTCTTTCCCTATTCACCAGCACCAGCACCATTCACATGGTGAGCCAATAGGGTCCACCTTCATCTGTGTCCCCTCCCAGCACCAGGCTCATTTCCTAAACTGAAATGAAGAGTTGGGTTTTTGGCCTGCCAGACAAGTGTGATTTGAATGGAGTCTCATCTCAGGGCCTTGTGCTTACTGTTCCCTCTTTCTGGAATACTCTTACTGCAGGGGGCCACAAGGCCACCTCACTTGCTTTGTTCAGCAGTCTTTTTAAATGTCACCTCTTCAAGGAAACTGTCTAGACCACTGTCTCTAAAGCAGCCTCCCATCATTGCATCACCTTGTCCTTCTTTTGTTTTCTTCATGTTACTTGTTATATTGTTATTATCTGTTCTTTCATTCACTGTCTGTCTCACCCCACTGGCCAGTAAGCTCTTCAAGGCAGGGATTTGTGTGTGTGGTCACTGTGTCCATACCATTTAGAAGAGCCAGGTGCGGTAGCTCCCACGTATAATTCCAGTACTTTGGGAGGCCAAGGTGGGAGGATTGCTTGAGCTCGGGAGTTTGAGACCAGCCTGGGCAACATGGTGAGACCCCCATCTCTACAAAAAAATTTTTTTTAAATTAGCCGAAAGCTGGATGTGGTGGCTCACGCCTATAATCCCAGCACTTTGGGAGGCCAAGGCAGGCAGATCACTTGAGTCAGGAGTTCGAGACCAGCCTGGCCAACATGACGAAACCCCATCTCTACTAAAAATACAAAAAGTAGCCGGGTGTGGTGGCACATGCCTGTAGTCCCAGCTACTCAGGAGGCTGAGGTGGGAGAATCGCTTGAACCAAGGAGGCGGAGGTTGCAGTAAGCCGAGATTGCACCATTGCACTCCAGCCTGGGCAATAGAGCGAGACTCCATTTCAAAAAATACATATATATATCCAGGTGTGGCGGCACGTGACTGTAGTCCCAGCTACTGAGGAGGCTGAGGTGGGAGGATCGGATTGCTTGAGCCCAGGTTGAGGCTGCAGGAAGTTATGATTGTGCCACTGCACTACTGCACTCCAGCCTGGGCAACAGAGCAAGACCCGTCTCAAAAAATAGATAGATAGATGGTAGATAGATAGATAGATAGATAGATAGATAGATAGATAGATAGATAGATAGATAAGGGCCTGGCACTTGGTACGTGCTGAATAAATGCTTGCTGAGTGGATGGATGGATGGATGGACAAATGGATGGACACATGAATGGGGAGACTGGTGAAATCATCCAGGCTCACGAACTGGAGCAGGGGAATGAGGATGGGATGGAGGAGATGGGTGAGAGACCCTGGTAGACCCCCACCCCTCTCATCCCTGGCAGCTGGAGCTCATCGGACACAGCATCTTTGATTTCATCCACCCCTGTGACCAAGAGGAGCTTCAGGACGCCCTGACCCCCCAACAGAGTGAGTTCCCCAGAAGCCTCTGTCCTCACCATACAGAGGAGGAAGCTGAGGCTCCACCCCTCCCTCAGCATATCCCCTCCTCCTCTGGAACACCAGACAAAGACAAGTAGGAAGAGGAGAGATGGCCCTGCCCTGGGGAGTCTGACAGGACACAGTCCTGCCCTGGGGGGTCTGAGGGGACACATACTACCCCTGGGGAATCCTCTCTGGTTCCAGAGAGGGTCTGAACCCTCTCTGGAAGGTTCAGACCTTCCAGAGGCCTGAGCAGCCAGGGTGCCGGAGGGCACTGGGCCTGTGTGCTGCTGCCTGTGACCTCCCCCCTGCCCCTGGGCCTCCCCAGCCCTGTCCAGGAGGAAGGTGGAGGCCCCCACAGAGCGGTGCTTCTCCTTGCGCATGAAGAGTACGCTCACCAGCCGCGGGCGCACCCTCAACCTCAAGGCGGCCACCTGGAAGGTGCGCGGGGCCGGGCCAGAAGAGGGCGTGGATGCTGGGGCTGCCAGGGCTGCTGGGGCTGGGTGTGAGCCCCGAAAGATCTCGAAGGGTGCTGGAGTCCAGGCATCTCCTGGCCTGGGGACTGTGCGGGGCTCACTCAGGTCAGGTCTAGTGGGTCCTCAGTGCATCGAGGAGCATGGGTGTCTGTGAGTTGGGACCTGGGGCTCCTGTAAACTCTCTTAGGAGGGGTTCCTATGGGCCTGGGGCTGGGGATCCTCAGCCCCTTTGAACCTGGAGTCTTCATGGGGTTGGAATCTTAGCTCCCTGATGGGCCCACAGGATGCATCTTTCACCCTCATGGGTGGTCTCAGGCCCGGAGGCACCACTGCCTTTTCCCCGCTTCTCGGCCCCCAGGTGCTGCATTGCTCTGGACATATGAGGGCCTACAAGCCCCCTGCACAGACTTCTCCAGCTGGGAGCCCCGACTCAGAGCCGCCACTGCAGTGCCTGGTGCTCATCTGCGAAGCCATCCCCCACCCAGGCAGCCTGGAGCCCCCGCTGGGCCGGGGGGCCTTCCTCAGCCGCCACAGCCTGGACATGAAGTTCACCTACTGTGATGACAGGTGGGCAGGGGCCCACTTCCCTCTGCCCAGGTTCAAGTGTGCTGTCCTCCCCACCTCCACACCCCCACATTTCTCTCACTCCTCTGTCTCTCTCACTTCATCCATCTTTCTCTCTGTGTGTGCCTGCCTGTCTCTGAATTTTCTGTGTGTCTTTTATATCTTTTCTTTTTTCGTAAAAATGCTGTCTTGCCATTTGCCCAGACTGCTCTCAAACTCCTGGGCTCAAGCCATCCTCCCGCCTCGGCCTCCCAAAGTGTTGGGATTACAGGCGTGAGCCACCGCACCCAGCCTCCTTTTATCTTTCGTTCTCTCTCTGTCTCTGAGTCTTTCTCTTAGGGTCTATCTCTCTTTGTCCCTTTTCTTAAATGAGTCAATTTGTGTCAAGCAGTTAGTATGGTGCCAGCACACAGGAAGCACTCGATAAATTGTCATTAAGCCAGGCCCAGTGGCTCACACCTGCAATACCAGCACTTAGGGAGGCCAATATGGGAGAATTGCTTGAGACCAGGAGTTCAAGACCACCTTGGACAATATACGGAGACCCCGTCTCTACAAAAAAATTAGCCAGGCGGGGCTGGGCACGGTGGCTCCTGCCTATAATCCCAGCACTTTGGGAGGCCAAGGCGGGTGGATCACCTGAGGTCAGGAGTTCAAGACCAGCCTGGCCAACATGATGAAACCCCGTCTCTACTAAAAATACAAAAATTAGCTGGGCGTGGTGGTGCATGCCTGTAATCCCAGCTACTCGGGAGACTGAGACAGGAGAATCGCTTGAGCCGGGGAGGCAGAGGTTACAGTGAGCTGAGATTGCTCCTTTGCACTCCAGCCTGAGTGACAGAACAAGACTCCGTCTCAAAAAAAAAAAAAAAAAAAAAAATTAGCTAGGTGGGTGGCACATGCCTTTGGTCCCAGCCACACAGGAGGCTGAGGTGGGAAGAATACTTGAGCCCAGGAGGTTGAGGCTGCAGTTAACCATGATTGCACCATTGCACTCCAGCCTGGGCAACAGAATGGGACGCTGTCTCTAAAAAAATAATAATGATAAATAAAATAAACTGTTATTTGTTCGCCCTCTATCCTTCCTTTCATCTCTTTTTCTCTTCAACTCTCTTCCTTCTGTCCTTCTCTTCCTTCTTCTGTCTTATCCCTCGCCCTGGTGTCGTGTGTAGGAACGGTGACTCTGGATTCAGCCTGGTTGGGTGCTGGTCTTGGCTGCATATCCTTAGCCAAATGACTTCACCTCTCTGTGCCGCAATTTCCTCACCTCTCCTGTGGAATCATAATAGAACCTGCCTTGTACGGTCATTCTGAGCAGCTCAGTGAGTTTCCCAGTGCAAAGCACAAGTGTCTAATTTTTAAATCATTATTGTCATCATTACTTTGTTGTTGTTCTTGCTCTGTCGCCCAGGCTGGAGTGCAGTGGCAGGATCTTGGCTCACTGCAACGTCCACCTCCCGGGTTCAAGTGATTCTCCTCCCTCAGCCTCCTGAGTATCTGGGATCACAGGCGCCTACCACAATGCCTGGCTACTTTTTGTATTTTTAGTAGAGGTGAGGTTTTACGATTTTGGCCAGGCTGGTCTTGAACTCCTGACCTCAGGTGATCCGCCCACCTCGGCCTCCCAAAGTGCTGGGATTACAGGCGTGAGCCCCTGCACCTGGCCTATCATCCTCATTACTCTTTATTTATTTTCATTCTTCTCTCTCTTTTTGTGTTCTTTTCTTCCCCTCTCTTCCTCTGCTATGTCATGCATGTTGTCTCTTTTTCTCTCTTTTCTTAGCTCTTCTTCCCATCTCCATGTATTAGTTTCCTATTGCTGCTGTAATATATTACCACAAACTCAGTGGCTCCAAACAATACAAACTCACTGTCTCACCATTCTGGAGGTCAGAAATTTGAAATTAGGCCAGGTATGGTGGCTCACACCTGTAATCTCAGCACTTTGGGAGATCAAGGCGGGAGGATGACTTGAGGCCAGGAGTTCCAGATCAGCCTGGACAGCATAGTGAGACCCCATCTTAAAGAAAGAAAAATAAATTAGGAATGAGTCTTACAGGCAAAATTAAGGCTGTGTTCCTTCTGGAGGCTCCAGGAAAGAATCTGTTTCCATGCCTTTTCCAGCTCCTAGAGCAGGGCCCACCTGCATCCATCTCCCCATCTCAAGACTAAGGCAGGCCAGGCGAGGCGGCTGACACCTGTAATCTCATCTCTTTGGGAGGCTAAGGCAGGAAGATTGAGGCCGGGGGTTCAAGACCAGACTAGGCAACATAATGAGACCCCATTTCTACCAAAAAAAAAAAAAAAGTAAAAAGTAGCCAGACAGGGTACACACCTGTAGTCCCAGCTACTCAGGAGGCTGAGTCAGGGGGATTGCTTGAGCCTGGAAGGTCAAGTCTGTGGTGAGCCATGATTGCACCACTGCACTCTAGCCTGGGTGACAGAGCGAGAGCCTGCCTCAGAAAACAAGCAACAGCCGGGTGCAGTGGCTCACGCCTGTAATCCCAGCACTTTGGGAGGCGGAGGCAGGTGGATCATGAGGTCAGGAGATCGAGACCATCCCGGCTAACATGGTGAAACCCCATCTCTACTAAAAAAATACAAAAAACATTAGCCCGGCGTGGTGGCGGGTGCCTGTAGTCCCCTACTAGCTACTAGGGTGGCTGAGGCAGGAGAAAGATGTGAACCCAGGAGGCGGAGCCTGCAGTGAGCCGAGATCATGCCACTGCACTCCAGCCTGGGTGACAGGGCGAGACTCCGACCAAAAAAAAAACTTCCAATGTCATCATATCTGCAAAGTCCCTTTTGCCATGTAAGATACCATATCTACAGATTCTCGGAATTAGGATGTAGACATCTTTGGGGGTCATTATTCAACCTACCGCACTCCTCTTACTCTGTTTCTTACTCTTTTTCTCTGGGTTACGATCCTGTCTCTTGACATCTTACTGGCTTTGTTCCCGTGTCCTCTGCTGCCACTTCCCTCTACCTACCCTCCCTCTCAGCCAGTAGCATCCTGACCAGACCCCACTCTGCCCCACCCCCAGGATCGCAGAAGTGGCCGGCTACAGTCCCGATGACCTGATCGGCTGTTCCGCCTACGAGTACATCCACGCGCTGGACTCCGATGCGGTCAGCAAGAGCATCCACACCTGTATGTATCCCATTTCCCCAGGCGTGGAGCCAGCTGCCGCATGGCCCCCAGCCAGCACCAGAACCCCCCAGCTCTCCACACCCCAGGATGCACTCCCTCCCTACCTCAACACCAGCTCCCTGCTCCCCAAGCCCCAGGGAACCGTCTCCTTCCTTACCCCCTCATACCCAGCCCCCAGATCTTTCTCTCCTCAGTTGCCCCCTTGGTGGCTCTGACCCCTCCCGATCCCCCTCCTCAGTGCTGAGCAAGGGCCAGGCAGTAACAGGGCAGTATCGCTTCCTGGCCCGGAACGGTGGCTACCTGTGGACCCAGACCCAGGCCACAGTGGTGTCAGGGGGACGGGGCCCCCAGTCGGAGAGTATCGTCTGTGTCCATTTTTTAATCAGGTAAGCAGGAGGAGGGGTTGGAGTGGCTGTGTGTGGGGCCTGATCGGCACACACCTGTGTGGACAGGTGTATGTGTGTGTGTGTGCATATGAGCATGCACGTGTATCATGCATAAGTGTATGTGAGGGAGTGCGCACATGTACACATATGAGGAATGTGTGTCACCATGTAAATGCCGGTGTGTATGTCTGCATGGACACAGGTATGTGTATGGGTGTGTACTGTTAATTTTTATTACTTTATTTATTTATTTATTTATTGCATGAACCTCTGCTTAAGTGAACTGGTAATGTAAATTAAAAAGGGCTCTTTGTTTGGCCTGGCATGGTGGCTCATGCCTGTAATCCTAGCACTTTGGGAGGCTGAGGCAGGCGAATTGCCTGAGCTCAGGAGTTCGAGACCAGCCTGGGCAACATGATGAAATACTGTCTCTACCAGTAATACCAAAAATTAGCCGGGTGTGGTGACACATGCCTGTAATCCCAACTACTCGGGAGGCTGAGGCACGAGAATCGTTTGAACCCAGGAAGTGGAGGTTGCAGTGAGCCGAGATTAGATTGTGTCAGTGCACTCTGACCTCGGCAACAGAGTTAGACTCTGTCTCAAACAAACAAACAAACAGAAGGACTCTCTATTCAAGTTAAAATAAGAAATGTAACAGAATCATGGGGTCTTTTTTGCTTTTTAAAATTTGATGTGTGGCTCACTCCTGTAATCCCAGAACTTTGGGAGGCCAAGGGAGGAGGATTGCTAGAGCCTCGGGGTTCAAGACCAGCCTGGGCAAAGTGGTTAGGACCCATTCTCAAAAAAACCCAAAAAACCTGAAAACAAACCAAAAAAAAACCACACACACACAAGAAGATATATATGTGGTTTGCATATGGTAAATTCCCTTTATGGTACACAGTTCTATGAATTTTTGACACATGCATGCAATTGTGTAACCACTATCACAATCCAGCTTTGACCAATTAGTGTGATTGTAATAGTGGTTACACAATTACCACAATTTTTTTTTTTTGAGACAGAGTTTTACTCTTGTCACTCAGGCTGGAGAGCACTGGCACGATCTTGGCTCAGTTCAACCTCTGCCTCCCGGGTTCAAGCCATTCTCCTGCTTCAGCCTCCCAAGTAGCTGGAATTACAGGCATGCAACAACACGCCCAGCTAGTTTTTATATTTTTAATAGAGAAGGAGTTTCACCAGGTTGGTCAGGCTGGTCTCGAACTCCTGACCTCAGGTGATCCACTCGCCTCAGCCTCCCAAAGTGCTGGGATTATAGGCATGAGCCACCACATCTGGCCATTACCATGATTTTTTACACAAAAATATTCTCTTGTAGTAAACCCTTCCCACACTCCCATGTCCCTGGCAACCACTGTCCTCAGAACCCAGAGTTTTGCTTTTTTCAGAGGGTCACATACAAGGAATGGTACAGTATGTAGCCGTTTGGGCCTGGCTTATACTTAGCATGATATATTTAAAATTCCTCCCTGTTGTGGTTTTTCTTTCTTGTTTTGTTTTGTTTTTTTGAGACAGAGTCTCATTGTGTTGCCCAGGAGTGCACTGGTGCAATCTTGGCTCACTGCAGCCTCTGCCTCCTAGGTTCGAGTGATTCTCCTGCCTCAGCCTCCCGAGTAGCTGGGATTACAGGCATGCACCAACATGCCTAGCTAATTTTTATATTTTTAATAGAGAAGGAGTTTCACCAGGTTGGCCAGGCTGGTCTCAAACTCCTGACCTCAGGTGATCCACTCGCCTCAGCCTCCCAAGGTGCTGGGATTACAGACGTGAACCACCGCGCCTGGCCCATGTTGTGGTTTATATCAGTAGCTCCTTTGTAAATAGTGAATAGTATTCCATGGTATGAATGGAGCACAGTTTTTTTATCCTTTCACCAGTTGGAAGAAGTTGGGCTGTTTCCAAGTTTGGGTGATTACAAAAAACCAGCTACTGTAAACATTCTCATACAAGATTTTATGAGATCACATGTTTTCATTTCTCTTGGGTAAACAGCTAGGATTGGAATGGATGGGTTATATAGTAAGTGTGTATTTAATTTAGGAAACTGCCATAACTGGCTGCAGTGGCTCACTCCTGTAATCCCAGCACTTTGGGAGGCTGAGGAGGGTGGATCAGTTGAGGCCATGAGTTTGAGACCAGCCTGGCCAACATGGCAAAACACCGTCTCCATTAAAAATACAAAAATTAGCCAGGTGTGGTGGCATATGCTTGTAACCCCAGTTGCTTGGGAGGCCAAGACACGAGAATCACTTTAACCCGGGAGGCGGAAGTTGCAGTGAGCTGAGGTCAGACCACTGCACTCTAGCCTGGGTGACAGAGTGAGATTCTGTCTCAAAAAATAAAAGAAAGAAAGAAACAGTCAGGGAAGAGTGTAATGGCTCGTGCCTATAATCCCAGCACTTTGGGAGGCCAAGGTGGGTGGATCACCTGAGATCAGGAGTTCAGGACCAGCCTGGTCAACATGGTGAAAACCCATCTCTACTAAAAATACAAAAATTAGCTGGGCGTGGTGGTACAAGCCTGTAGTGCCAACTACTCAGGAGGCCGAGGCAGGAGAATCACTTGAACCTGGGAGGCGGAGGTTGCAGTGAGCCGAGATCACGCCACTGTACTCCAGCCTGGGCGACAGAGGGAGACTCCATTTCCAAAAAAAGAAAAAGAAGAAACAGCCAAACTGTTTTCCAAAGTGACTGTATCATTTTGCATTCCCATCAGCAATGTATGAGGGTTCCAGTTGCTCCACATCTGTGCCAGCATTTCATATCGTCTGGGTGTTTGGGTTTGGTGTTACTTTTAGTCATTCTAATAGATGTGTCGTGGGAAAATCACGATGGGGCTTTTTTTCTCCATCATGTGTCATAGAAGCTTTTCACCATTTAGGAATGCAGAGGTATCCATGACAACATTGTGAGGCAGAGTTAAAATTACAGCTTTTCGGTCAGGCGCAGTGAGTGGCTCACGCCTATAATCCCAGCACTTTGGGAGGCTGAGGTGGGCAGATGACTTGAGGTCGGGAGTTCAAGACCAGCCTGACCAACATGGCAAAACCCCATCTCTACTAAAAATACAAAAATTACACAGGTGTGATGGTGCATGCCTGTAATCTGAGCCACTTGGGAGGCCGAGGCAGGAGAATCACTTGAACCCGGGAGGCGGAGGTTGCAATGAGCGGAGATGAGACCACCGCACCCCAGTCTGGGCAACAGAGCGAGACTCCATCTCAAAAAAAAAAAAGAAAGAAAAGAAAAAATAATTATAGCTTTTCTTTGAAGGTTATCCTATAGGACATGCATCAGTTTCTAAAGCCTTAGGGGTTTTTCTAGATCTGGAGGAATGTTCTGAAATACAAATCAACATATATATATGCATATAAATTTTTTTGAGATAAAGTCTTGCTTTGTCATGCAGGCTGGAGTGCATGACTGAGCCTCCCAAGTAGGTGGGACTATAGGCATGCACTACCATGCCCGACTAATTTTTTTTGTATTTTTTGTAGAGATGGAGTTTCATCATGTTGTCCAGGCTGGTCTTAAGCTCCTGAGTTCAAGCAACCCACCCGCCTCAGCTTCCCAAAGTGCTGGGATTACAGGTGTGAGCCCTGGCACCCAGCCTATAATTTTTTTTTAAATAGGGATGGGGTCCCACTATGTTATTCAGGCTGGTCTCAAACTTCTGGGCTCAAGTGATCCTCCCACCTCAGCCTCCTAAAGCGCGGCAATACAGATGCGAAATCACCATGCCAGGCCTCCGAATCAACTTATGCCTCCTGTCTCTGCCCTTCTCAGAGCCCTTCTGAGGCTCCCCAGCATCCTTAGGAGAAAGGCCAAGGGCATTAGCATGGCCGGGCTCTGTGAAGCTCCTGCCTCCCTCCCCTTCTCACTCACCCTCCAAACCTTAGGGCCTTTGCACAGGCTGTTCCTCCAGCCCAGAATGCTCTCCTCTCCTCCCTCCTCCTTTTTCTCCTGAGTCATGCCTGCTCATCCTTCCAGTCTCAGCTCAGACATCACTGCTGGAGACCCTCTTTCCTGAGCCCCTACATGAGCTCAGGTGCCCCCCACCCCCATTTTCTTTCCTGGTATTCTGTACTTTTGCACCAAAGCACTTAAAACCATTTGTAATGATCTTATTAACTTGTGTATTCAGCCAGGCCTTCTTTGATTGCCCTTTTCTAAATTGCCAAGTCCCATCACTGCTTTATTTTCTCCGTAGTACTTACCACTATCTTTCTTTGAGACAGAGTCTCGTTCTGTTGCCCAGGCTGGAGTGCAGTGGCACAACGTCAGCTCACTGCAGCCTTTGCCTCCCGGGTTCAAGTGATTCTCCTGTCTCAACCTTCCAAGTAAGGATTACAAGCACCCACCACCACACCCGGCAAATTTTTGTGTTTTTAGTAGAGATGGGGTTTCACCATGTTGGCCAGGCTGCTCTCAAACTCCTGAGCTCAAGTGATCCACCCACCTCAGCCTCCCGAAGTGCTGGGATTATAGGCCTGAGCCACTGCGCCCGGCCCTCCCTAGTATTACTACTATCTAACCCAATGTTGTCCAATAAAAGCATGATGCCAGCCACGTATGTCATTTTGAATTTTCTAGTAGCCACCTTAAAAGGTAAACAGAATGCTGGGTGTGATAACTCACACCTGTAATCCCAACACTTTGGGAGGCCAAGGCCAGGAGTTTGAGACTAGCCTTGGCAATATAGGGAGACCCCATCTCTATAAATAATTTAAAAATTTGCCCAGCATGGTGGCATGTACCTGTAGTCCCAGCTACTCAGGAAGCTGAGGCAGGAGGATCATCTGAGCCTGGGAGATTGAGGCTGCAGTGAGCTGAGATTGCACCACTGCTCTAGCCTGAGTGACAGACTGAGATCCTGTCTCAAAAAAAAAGTCAACAGAAGCAGGTGAAATTAATTAATTTTATTTATTTATTTATTTATTTTGAGGCGGAGTCTCGCTCTGTCGCCCAGGCTGGAGAGCAGTGGCACGATCTCGGCTCACTGCAAGCTCCGCCTCCCGGGTTCACAACATTCTCCTGCCTCAGCCTCCCGAGTAGCTGGGACTACAGATGCGCACCACCACGCCCAGCTAATTTTTTTTTTGTAATTTTAGTAGAGATGGGGTTTCACCATGTTAGCCAGGATGGTCTTGATCTCCTGACCTCGTGATCCACCCACCTTGACCTCCCAAAGTGCTGGGATTACAGGTGTGAGCACTGTGCCCAGCCAATTTTATTTTTTTAATTTCATTTTATTTATTTATTTATTTGGAGTCTCACTCCGTCATCCAGGCTGGAGTGCAGTGGTGTGATCTCGACTCACTGCAACCTCCACCTCTGGGGTTCCAGTGATTCTCCTGCCTCAGCCTCAGGAGTAGCTGGGATTACAGGCACCCACCACCATGCCTGGCTAATTTTTGTATTTTTAGTAGAGATGGGGTTTCACCATGTGGGCCAGGCTGATCTTAAACTCCTGACCTCAGGTGATCCACCCGCCTTGGCCTCCCAAAATTCTGGGATTACAGGCGTGAGCCACCGTGCCCGGCCTAATTTTAATAATATATTTTATTTTCATATTCAAGATCACACCACTGTGTAAGTAGCAGAGCTGGGATTTGAACCCAGGCCACTGACTACAGAGTCCTTGCTATGAACCACTACACAGTAGTGCTTGACGAGGAGATGTTTGTGGAATGATGAATGAGTGAACTGAATGTGTCACATGTGCACATATTTGAGCCCAAGTGTATGGAGCGTGTGAGCATATCTGTCCCTGTATGCACTCAGGTGTATGCGAGCGCTCCTATTTGTGCCTGTGTGTACCGAGTGTGTGTACGAGTTCGATTGTGTGTGCTTGTGTCTTTCAGGGAAATAAGGGTGGCCTTGATCCAGCCTAAATTGGGATGTTTCCAGCGGGGTGGGTTTAATGAGGGTAGGGAGAGGTCATAGCTTCTCAAGGAGCTGGTGGGAAAACCAGGCCCACCTACATCCTGTCCTGAAGCGGGTTATGCAGATGAGATGCAAATGAGGGCCTGATCCTCAGCCCCACCCAACTCTCCAAAAGCCAACTTGCCCAGCGAGCATTTAGATTGTCTCTGCAGCCACAGACTGTGTGAAGGGAGGTGGCAGGGACATAAGGAAGTATTTATAAACCTGTTCCCTTGAATATGAAAAATATCTATGAATAGAAACAGCATAAATAAAATCTTATTCATAAAAATTACAGCCCTGTGAATTCTTCCTATTTGGTAATGTAATGAAGACTATATTAAAAATATATTTTTTCATCAATAGCTTTCTAAGAATATGTTTATAAGTTAAAATCTATAAAGAGAATATTTAGGTATTCTGAAGCCTTTTGCTCACCTCTTTCTTTGCCCCTGGGCGTCCCCTGTCTGTTCCTAGGTCTCTTCCCACTTCTGTCTTTCGGTGCCGCCCTACCCGCTTCCCTCAGTCTTCCTCCTCTCTGCCCAGGCTGTGCTAAATGCCAGCTCTTTTTTCTGCCTTTCCTTTTACAGAAGGAGCTTGGGAAGGGACAAACTTAACTTTCTTTTTAAAATGTTGTCAGAATAGGCTGGGCGCAGTGGCTCATGCCTGTAATCCTAGCACTTTGGGAGGCTGAGGCAGGTGGATCACCTGAGGTCAGGAGTTCAAGACCAGCCTGGCCAACATGGTGAAACCCCGTCTCTACTAAAAATACAAAAATTAGCCAGGTATAGGGGCGTCCACCTGCAATCCCAGCTACTCGGAAGGCTGAGGTGGGAGAATCGCTTGAACACGGGAGGCAGAGGTTGCAGTGAGCTAAGATCGTGCCACTGCACTCCAGCCTGGGCAACAGAGTGAGACCTTGTCTTAAAAAAAGAAAAAGAAAAAGAAAAAAAAATCGCTGTCAGAATAAAAAGCAGTCAACAAAAATCAAACCCTTATAGGAGACAAATAAATGTGGGTAATTATTTTCTGTGAAACGCCCTCCAAGCCCCTGGGCGCCATTGCCTTCTGTAATAGGACATCACCTGAACAGGCTACCTGGCCTGGAGCCAAGGACCCTCCCTGACTCCCACCTCCCTTTCTGTCTTGTACCCCAGCCGGGTGGAAGAGACCGGAGTGGTGCTGTCCCTGGAGCAAACGGAGCAACACTCTCGCAGACCCATTCAGCGGGGCGCCCCCTCTCAGAAGGACACTGCTAACCCTGGGAATAGCCTTGGTATGGGGCAGGGCTGGGGCTGGGAGGGGTTGTGTCCCCAGGGCCCTTGGGAGAAAGCCCAAGCACCGTAACATGGCTCACCAGGCCCTGTGGGACCTGCCTCTTGACTCCCTTCCCTGCGCACTCCGCCTCCAAACCACACAGCCTCCTAAGAGCCCTTGGAACACTCCAGCCTCGTGCCTCAGGGCCTTTGCATGTGCAGTTTCCCAGAATGCTTTTCTCTCTCCTGTCCTCCCTCCCCTCCTGTGGCTATGGCGTGGTTGCTTCAGTCTCTTGCTGGCCTCTGCTCTAAATCCTGCTGTGGCTCCACATTGTCCCCATGCTTCTGCCTCTTCCCTATTCTGGCTTTGCCGCTCTTTGGCTTCCAGTAATCTCGATCCTCCTAAGTCTGGCTCCTTTCTCCCTCTTCCTTCACTCTCCTGCCATCGTGGATGAGCCTCCCTCCCGGTTTGTCCTTCAAGACCTCACCTTCTCCCAGCTGTTGCTGGCCACCCATGCTCCTAGGTGTGGGGTGAGATTGCTGATATAATATCCTTTCCTTTTCTGGCTCAGAGCTGGCTCTGGGCCTTGTCTTAACCTCTGGGGACCTTACAGCCTCCTTGAGGACTTGGGGCCAGTCTTTTCTCCTAAGGTGCAAGCTCCCCAGAGCTGAATGGAATGGCCAAATGCTGATCTGAGCCACCAATCCCCTCCCCTCGGAGTTTTCGGAGCCTCACCACAATCTAGCCACTAAAGTTCACACCCGGGCTGGGTGCAGTGGTTTATGCCTGCAATCCCAGCACTTTGGGAGGCCGAGGTGGGCGGATCACTTGAGGTCAGGAGTCTGAGATCAGCCTGGCCAACATGGTAAAACCCTGTCTCTACAAAAAATACAAAACTTAGCTGGGCATGATGGCAGGCACCTGTAATCCCAGCTACTCCAGAGACTGAGGCACAGAATCACTTGAACCCAGGAGGCGGAGGCTGCAGTGAACTGAGATTATGCCACTGCACTCCAGCCTGGGCAACAGAGCAAGACTCCATCTCAAAAATAAAAATAAAGTTTACCCCTGGCCCAGCAGGGGTCCTCCAGGCCCCTTCCTTACTCCCACACTAAGAACAGTGGCCATCCTGACTTGCTGATGTCAACTGTGTTCCCGGGTGGTGTGGAGGGCTCTGGCCCTTGGCCTTTGGTCACCAGCCCGTGTCCTCCCCGTCTCCATGTGTCCTGCAGACGCCCCTGGACCCCGGATCCTCGCCTTCCTGCACCCGCCTTCCCTGAGCGAGGCTGCCCTGGCCGCTGACCCCCGCCGTTTCTGCAGCCCTGACCTCCGTCGCCTCCTGGGACCCATCCTGGATGGGGCTTCAGTAGCCGCCACTCCCAGCACCCCGCTGGCCACACGGCGTCCCCGAAGTCCTCTTTCGGTAAGCCATCCCACCCACATGAGCCCTCAGCATCCAAGGCTCCGTCCCTCAGGTGGTCTTGGCCTGTGGCTTAAACCTGACTGTTCTCTGGGCCTCTGTGTAGTGGGGAGGTTGGGTTGAGATGGGGTTGAGGTTCCTTTAAGACGCAGATCCAGATTCTTCAATTGTTAGGATTCCAGAGTCTGGCTCTGTTAGGGAAAAACTCTCTCAAGCTATGTTTTTTGTCTGCTCTCCTGATAATGCAACGATCATCAACACAGAAGAAGACTTCTGTGACCAAATGTGGGCAGTTTTTCCCACACACCAAGCAGCGAACACCAGCTGGGTGTCCTCCAATTCAATTCCGGCACCGTCTACCTGGAGGTAGTGTCAGATCTCACAGGTTGGCCCTCAGTCCCCAAGACTGCTCCCTGTTCTTCAGTCACAGTCACAAGTCCGGGCCTCCAGAATTTCTTTTTTTATTTTTATTTTTGAGATGGAGTTTTACTCTGTCCCCCAGGCTGGAGTGCAGTGGGGCAATCTCAGCTCGCTGCGACCTCCACCTCCGAGGTTCAAGCAATTCTCTTGCCTCAGCCTCCCAAGTAGCTGAGATTACAGGTGTCTGCCACCACGCCCGGTTAATTTTTTGTATTTTTAGTAGAGACAGAGTTTCACCATGTTGGCCAGGCTGGTCTCGAACTCCTGACCTCAAGTGATCTTCCAGCCTTGGCCTCCCAAAGTGCTGGGATTACAGGTGTGAGCCACCACACCTGGCTCTTTGGGTTTAATTCACTGGAACAGCTCACAGTAATCAGGATAACACTTATTTAGGTTTACTGGTTCATTGTCAAGGATATTGCACGGGATACAGATGAAGGGATACATCAAGTGAGGTATGGGGGAATGCAGGGTCTCAGAGCTTCCATGCTGTCCCTGGGCACCACCCTCCAGAAACCTCCGTGGGTCAGCTATCTGGAAGCCCCTCAAACCCAGTCCTCTTGGGTTTTTATGGAAACTTCATGATGTCAGCATTCTTTCTCCCAGGGTATCGGGCAGGACCCTCTCTGGGTACAGTTTTATGACTCACAATCAGAAAGGCGGGGGAAGATTAGAGACCTGCCTTGGGGCAGGTGAAAGGAGGGCAGAAGAAGGCTGGAGAGGTTGTTTCATGAGGCCTAACACACCCAACGTTCTAACAAAAGACTGTTCGAACTGTTTTATTAGACTGTTCTAATAAAAGACTGTTCTAACAAAAGACAAGGGCCATGGGAGTTTGACCCAGGAACCATGCACAAAATCATATATATATATAAAAATATATATTTTATATATTAAAAATAAATATATAAACATATTTATACATGCAAATTTATTTATATATGCAAATATATTTGTTTACATATGTAAATATATGCATATACATGTACTTATAGTTATACATTTGCATATATGTAAATATGTTTACACGTGTGGATGTATTTGCATATATGTAAATATATTTTTATATATTTGTGTGTGTGTGTGTGTGTGTATATATATAAAAAATAACATCATAGGCCCTGTATTAGTCCATCTTCATGCTGCTGCTAAAGACATACCCAAGACTGAGTAATTTATAAACAAAAAAAAGTTTAATGGACTCACAGTTCCACATGACTGGGGAGGCCTCACAATCATGGTGGAAGGTGAAAGGTACGTCTTACATGGCGGCAGGCAAGAGAGAATGAAACCAAGTGAAAGGGGTTTTCCCTTACAAAACCATCAGATCTCATGAGACTTATTCACTATCACGAGGACAGTATGGGGGAGACCGCCCCCATGATTCAATTATCGCCGACCAGGTCCCTCCCACAGTGTGTGGCAATTACGGGAGCTACGGTTCAAGATGAGATTTGGGTGGAAACGCAGCCAAACCATATCAGGCCCCTAACCTGGGTTGTTTGGAACTGGCACAGATGACCCTCCTCCCACTCCAGCTTGTGACTAAGCATCCAGTTCTCTGAACTTTGACCTCAAAGAGTCAAAATGTCTAATGTCCTGATTTATACAGACGTGGATTCAATCCTAAATCTGCCATTTATCAGCGGCATTACCTTGGCTGGGCAAGCAAGTTCTTGAGGCCTTAATTTCTTCACCTATAAAAGAAAGATGATAACATGTCACCACATCATTGGTTATTCTGAGCATTAAATGAGAGTATTCATGAGAAGCACTCAGTAGGGGCCTGGCACCTATTGGTGCTCAACAAATCATACCTGTTACTATCACTATTTGTTGTGAAGATAGTCTGACCTTTGACCTCAGTAAGTCTATATTATCCAGTGTTGACTGTCTTCATCCCCACTCACCACCCCAAGAAAATATCTTCTCTCCAGAGAAATACAGACTGTGACCTTTGACCTCATCCTTTACTCCTGAGACAGCTGAACTCGCCATTGTTTCCCCCCCAAACTCCAGGCTCCAAGACCTTTAACACCAGAGGATTTGTTTGAAAATCTTGGCCTCAGGCTGGGTACGGTGGCTCACACCTGTAATCTCAGTACTTAGGGAGGCCAAGGTGGGGAGATCATCTGAGGTCAGGAGTTCAAAACCAGCCTGATTGACATGGTGAAACCCTGTCTCTACTAAAAACACAAAAATTAGCCATGTGTGGTGGCGGACGCCTGTAATCCCAGCTACTTAGGAGGCTAAGGCAGGAGAATCCGTTGAATCCAGGAGGTGGAGGTTGCAGTGAGCCAAGACCACACCATTGCACTCCAACCTGGGTGACAGAGTAAGACTCCCTCTCAAAAAAAAAAAAAAAAAAAAGTCTTTCGGATTTTTTTTTTGTTTTGCGACAGAGTCTCACTCTGTCACCCAGGCTGGAGTGTGGTGGCACAGTCATAGCTCAGTGCAGCCTCCGCTTCCCAGGCTCAAGCCATTCTCCTGCCTCAGCCTCCCTAGTAGCTAGGACCACAGATGTGTGCCACCAAGCCCAGCTAATTTTTGTGCTTTTAGTAGAAACGGGGTTTCACTATGTTGGCCAAGCCGATCTTGAACTCCTGATCTCAAGTGCCACCCACCTTGGCCTCCCAAAGTCCTGGGATTACAGGTATGAGCCACTGAGCCTGGCCAGGCTCTGATCCTTCCAACCGGAACCTTCATGTTTGCTCTGTCGATCTACATACACTCAGGCATTCTGACTTTTGAATACCCAAGCTCAAAACTCATCTGCATTTGCCATTGGACCCCCTTTGTCCCCAGATGCCGGGCATTTGATCCCCACTTCTACCTTTGAGCTGCAGACTGTCTTACTGTTGACATCTCCCAGGCTCAAGATTTCCTGAAGTCTCTACTCCATCTCTCCACAGGCTGATCTCCCAGATGAACTACCTGTGGGAACAGAGAATGTGCACAGACTCTTCACCTCCGGGAAAGACACTGAGGCAGTGGAGACAGATTTAGATATAGCTCAGGTAAGGGCTGGCATGGAAAGAGTAATTCTTAGCCCTGCATTCTGGGGATTCACATATGTGGCTTTAGAGAAGGTTAGTGGGATGGCTAAAGGAATGAGTGGATGGATGGATAGATGGATGGATGGATGGATGGATGGATGGACGGACCATTGTATTCATTAGGTGGATGATAGCAGATGAATGGATGAGGTTTAGGCAGATATTCTAATGGATGGATTGATGGGTGGATAGGTGGGTGGGTGAATGAATGTTTGGGTGGATATTTTGATAGCTGGATGAAAAATGGATGGGTGATATTTGGATGGATGATTTACTGAGTGCATAGATAAAATGACAGCAGCATGATGTATTAGTTATTATTGCTGTGTAACAAATTGTCTAAAAATTTGACACCTTAGAACAACAACTATTTATTATGTCACATGGTGACTGGGTATCAGAAATTCAGGAGCAACTTAACTGCTGGTTTTTGCTCAGAGTCTCTCACAAGGTTGAAGTCAAACTCTCAGTCAGGGCTATAGTCATCTGGGGTTAGAAGGTTTTCTTCCAAACTCACACACACGAGATGGCTGGCAGGCCTCAGTCCCTCACTTTGCTTCGGCTGGAGGCCTCAGTTCCTCATCACATGAACCTCTACATAGACTCCCTAAGTGTCCTCACAACATGGCAATTGGCTTCCGTAAGGCAAGCAATCCAACAAAGAGAGAAAGAGACAAATGGGGAAGCAGAGAGACAGAAAGAACAAGTCCCAGACTGAAGACACAGTCTTTCATAGCCTAATCTCAGAA